CATTAACATTTTACTCTAAAACCATGAATATATTTAACTATATGTATATATATATATATATATATATATATATATATATATATATAGGGAATAGTAGTTACAAATTAATTTTACTAGAAAAAAGTTTCAATTAAACATGTTGGTAGATGAAAGATGAAACGCATCTTTGGCTTTCACAGTAATATCCTCGATATTATTAACATGATTAGATAATATCACTAACAATTTTGATGGTGTCAATATTTCTAAACCAGTTACAAATTCTCATGGTATTCTTTAAATGTATGTTCATGTAATATGTTTGAGAGCCATTGGGATTTTTTTTTTTTTTTTTTTTTTGCGTCTATGGAAGTTTTATTACATGATCTCCTCACAGACAACAGCCAGCTTGAAACATGATGGATTTTATTTTCCTCAAAGGATAATATTATTGACTTAATTATTTACTTCCACTTAGTTTTTTTAGATGAACTGGTCTAATATATGTGTGTGTGTATGTATATATATATATCATCTTTAGTATAAACTATTAAATGTATAACACTTAGCTCATTTTATCGGTCGTCCTTAATTATTTATTTCCTCGTATTGCTTTCATTTAATGTCATGAAAATTTGTCTCAAAATATGTAAAATAGAGCACTTCCTTTGCTATATTTGATAAAATCTTATCCCGACTCAACTTCTTTGGTTCGGAATAGAGAAAAATGGTTGAAATAAAAGAGTAAATCTTGCTATGATGTGTGCTTACTTTGTTCTTTTTTCAAAGCCACTGGAAGCTTGAGTCGAATTAGAATAAGTTACCCAAGACAAAATTATTATCTTTATATATATATAAAGTTTGAGCATGGATTTGGTGTTAAAAATTTTTGTCATCTTTTATTTTTTTCAAATTTAACGTCACAAAAGTAAAAATTTACTAAATATAACTACTAAAGTTCAGATAACTTCCACTATTTTAAGTTCCAATAATTTCTTTGTTTGCAAAAAAAAAAAAAGAAATAATAACCTTTTTTGCAACAAAAAAAAGTAAACTTCTAATAACTTCCATTGTTTTAATAAAAAAAAAATTCCTTAATTTGCACACCAATAGATGTGTAATCAAATCACTACAACAATCATAATCAACAACAAAGAAAACAACTTATCAATGAAATATGATTAGGCAATGATGATATGATTTTGGATTTTATCCTCATAGAGTAAATTTGTAAACGAGTTTACTGGGTTCTAAATCAAATTATCAATTTGCTTTAATGATTTGTCTCCAAACTAGGATGAGAATCTTTTTTTGGCCCCTACCAAAAACATGTATCCAAAGTTACCAACCTACTTTCCAACTAGTAATATAGATTAGATTGAATTTTATGTACACTAACAGTGCACACATTATCACCGTTGAATCTATGACACATGTGCAAAAATTGAATTTCAAATTTAAATTTTATATTGTTGTCATTCATGATATTGGTTTGTATGATTTCTTGAACTATTTTATACATTGCACGATCAATTCTTTTTTCAACAAACAAACAGAGCGAGAATATTTACATTGTTCAGTTTCAGCAATACATTATACTCTTTAATAAAAAAATGCACTCTCAAATCCGTGAATCTACACATTAGTGAAGAACAAAATGCACAGATCGATGAAAAAGGTACATGCCAAAACCAAATTGAAAGGCTGGTCACCATTTCCAAAGAAAAAAAGGGTTTAAAAGGAGAAACCTAAAAGTTGAAAACAAAAGGTTCGGGTTGATCCATATCAACCTGAACAAAAGGTTAAAAGCAAAAGTTACAAACAAAAGGTTCAGGTTGATCCATATTTTGCCCGCGTGAATGATCCAACGGTAGCACCTCCCATTGGTGACCATTTGGTCCCGAGTTCGAATCTTTGCTCTGTTGGATTCCTCCGCGCACTTATCGTGCTTGGGTCGGGTTGGGGCGCTGGACCCGGATTACAGGGGATTAGTCGGACCCCGTAAGGATTGACCCGGACACCCCTGTGTCGACAAAAAAAAAAAGAAAAAAAGATCCATATCATTGCTTCTGAAGAAAAGAAAAGTAGGAGAACAGAAGTCAGATGACCTTCTCCATGTCTCAACATGCAAAATATCTGCATGATTGAAAACTGTGCATATATATACATACATATGATTAAGGATTTTATTGAGCTTAGAATTTTTTTGTACCCACCAATATGAGAAGAGGGGGTGCAAGAAAGAAGTATAAAGCATTTGTGGAAAAGTTCAGATGGGCCATAAATCAGAAAGCGATGAGGACAGAAGTTTGACGACTGGACTTCCAAGCCAAGACATGAAAACCACAGACATGGATTGGAAACTGGAATTTCATCCACAGCAATATGCCAACAGCAAAATGAAAAAAAAAAAAAAAAAAGGGAATTTTGTAAAAAGTCTTTGGTCAATACTTGCACCAACTTGAGTGGCATCATCAATCATCATAGTAGGACATTGCATCCATGTGGCAAACGGTTGCTATTCTGTCATACATCCTAAGACTTTGCATTTGAAGCGATAATCATAGCTTACCCTATTGCTAATCATCTCTTGGCTGGCTGTGCCAATATAGCTCTTTAGACATTTTTATGAATTGTGAATATGTTCTTATTGATCCCATTACAATTATACCAAGCTTCCTCCACCATATGAAATGGAGTAGTGTGCTTGGATGCAAATTTTTTGTTTTATCAAATATTATTTTACTTATATTATAAACACGTTTTTTTTAACTGTTCTTTTATCTCATATATACTGCATTACAAAAAAAAAAAAAAAAGTTACTGTACAATAATTATTTCAAATAATACCCCTTTATTCAAACATTTTTTTTCCATCATTGCCTCAAAATTTGAAATTGAAAACTGAGCTATAAGAATTTCTTTTTTTTTTTTTTCCTTTTCATATGAATTTTAGGACAACATCACAATATTTTTTTTTCCTTTCACTCGCCAACTTCCTAGGGACTCACTCAACGTTATAAAACAACTAAAAGAGATGGATGTACATTGAGTTCCACATGTTCATTGAATTTTTCCTATATTCATCGAGTTTCTCTAGATTAGAATATGAAGCAACAAAAGGACTGATATGGATGACCATTTAATTCCTTCGTATATTTATGTACCATTACCCACTTCAATCTTGTTTTGTAAATAGAATATGTCGTGGTGGTTGAAGTGTCCCATTTTATTAAAAGTCATCTTAAGTGTCCCATTTTAAAGTTTAAGCTTGGGTAATCTTATAATTAACCCTTTTATGTACCATTAATCTTGTTTTGTATATGATTAAAAGTCTCTAACTTGTTTATAATATCGGGAACACTTTTTTTTTCCAGACTTTTGAAATTAGTTAGTTAAACTTAATCCCAAAAATCGGTAACTTTTGAGGCAACCTTGAGGACTTAACTCTATAAATACTTGACATTTTGTTCTTATTCATCCGTATTAGTTTTATTACACTCACAAGTCTAGAAGTATAGCTTCACTAGTTTTTTTTTGTTTCAATAGAACATCTTTAAGGGATCAACGATTATGTCACAGATTAACAGGTGAAGACAAAAAGAATAAAAAACTAGGCAATTGGCCCTCTTACGAAACTTTTGGCTCCTCTTCGTCTCCTAGCACTTTTTTTTTTTTTTAATCTTATCGGAGCTTAATTACGTGGGCTAGAAGCGATGTCGTGGTTGATTTAACCACTGTTTTATGTGGTTAATGTTTTATGTGGTTTGTATTTGCACCGTTGCAACTTGCAGAGTAGGACAAGCCATGATCCACCGCCCAACCCGAAACGAAAGTGCAGGTTCACGAATGAAATAGTGGCATGCAATTGGGAAAGGATGCTGATTAGTACTTGCGGATATTCCTTGGTACCAAAATCCTCGAGTTTTGTCGCACCAAAATGCCTCCTCAAGGCTCGACTACCTTTACTTTAGGGTGGCTCCAACGGTACGCTCCTCCATTCAACGCTGCTTGGGGGAGTTCACAAATGGCCATTACGCGCATCATGCATATCATATTTACAATATGATGCAAAATTGTACAGTTACTTGAAATCCCAAATTTTTGATAACATCTAACAATTCGTGTGACTCAAGGTTCTGTTGAAAATTTTCAAAATTACCTTCAAAGGAATGCGAAACTATGTGATCGTGAAATACATCATCAACTTCGATTGGACTCGTTCGAGCATATTTGAGAACGATTTGGAGGCAATGACAATGAAAATTAGTACTATTTATTATATTATTATTTGCATTTTATTTGATTTAAATTATGTCATGGAGTTAAATTAATTCGATAGAGTATTATTAATTAAGTATGAATTATTATGACATCTTCCCATTTAAGGGAAAAATATTAATATTTTTGAGGGACAGAAAAATATATATTATTGAAAATCACAAGTTAATAATATTAGTTTTTAGAAGATAAAAAATCGGAAAGGTAAAAAATTTAATGAAAGTTAATATTTTATTTTTCAAGAAAAAAGTGATTATTTTAAAAAATTAATCTTATTTATTTATGAGAAATTAGAGATGTGCATTATAAAAATAAATATTTGATTTAATTGTGAAGTCACGTTATTATCCTGTGTTGGATACCCTTTCTTTCTTTCACGTCATCTTCAAAGAGAAGGCAGTGTCGTCACCTGTGGCCTACGTATTTAGAGAAATCATACCATACAAATGTTTTAGCACTGGCATGATAGATTCATGCTGTTATCAGACGAACATTCGACTGATGGCTCCATGCTTCCTGATGCTTAATTTCAGAGGAATAATCACAAGAAAGAGGATGGAACAGAAGAAGAGCTCACAGGGATGTCAATAAAACGGGGAAGGAAAACAAATTCAATCCAGCCATCCATCTAATGGTCTTTGTTTCTGTTGAATGAAAGTAGTTCCAAGAATAAAGCAGCATAATGCAAAGTTTATCGCTAGCATCTTCGCAGCTCTGCTCAGATATCCACAAAATGCAACTAGACCTCACAACAACAAGCACGCTGGTTTTCTATTGAACAAAAACACAGAAACATGCTATGAAATCGAACCACCTTCTCAAGAATGAAGAAAGAATTAAAGACTATCCAATATGTATATGTCAAGTAGTCAAGAAACACTCAGTTTACAATGATCTGGGATTTATACAATGAGAGTTCCAGTTTCCCCCTCACTTACAAATACAACTACATGAATGAGCTTCCATATCCCTTCCGCCAACTCCTCTTACCAGTCTTTTGCACCATCTGGCAAATAGGTGACATCAGCAGCTAATATTACTCAATATCGGCCCAGTATGCAGCTTTCTCACTGTGTCAGCAGCTTCGAGTCACATGCCACTATCTTAACACGGCTGACAGTCTCTTGACATTCATCACTCTTGAAATGAGCATCTTGTAAGATGAAAGTCCAAACATTGTCACAGAATCTATAGGTGTGGAGATGTCCCTGTAGGACAATGCAAAACATGTTAGTGTTGACAAGTAACAAGAAACTAGACAGCAGCTAGCCCTTGGCAGTAGCAGCAACCGAAGCAGCATAACATCGAGACAAAAATTTGCCAACCAAGGAACTTTGCATCCGAGACTAAGCCCTACTCCAGTTTGAATGACACTTCTAAGCCAGCCAAGCCTACTCAAACTCATACTGACTAAGGCAGCTAAAACCGTGCTTTGTTCTTACAATTTTCTAAGCCATCAAAAATTTGAATAAGAGAACATTAACATCACCAGCAGTCTGACATACAGTAATCATGACTTTTTCCAGTCACTTTTTTTTTTATCTTGTCTATCGTCCTTTCATCTCACAAACATCACATCAAAAATAGCTACAGTAAATTGTAAGTAACATTTTCCAAATAATCTTCAATTGAAACACACTGAGAGCAAATATAAGAATCATACGCCCTAGCCCCTAATTCCTACAGGATGACATCAAGGCTCTTTCTGTGGAAAGCTAACCCAGCAGAAATACTCTTACTGCCACATTTATTGTACCAAAAGATAAACGACAGCACAGACTAAAATGAAGGATGCCAACTGATTGCAGCTGTCTTGCCATGTCACATGGCAGGATATACATGCATCTAAAGCGCGCCAGCTTTCCACGTAAAGGATACATAAAACTTCTAAAAAATCAACATTGTTATCTCCCAAGTAGGCTAAAATTGCTTGCATCAGGCACAAAATCTTGATGATTGATAGCCACAACTTTCAGATCTATATACTAAATTGTAATAAACCCAAAATATTTCAGAACAAAATTAGTGGCATCGCTTTTCCATACTAAACTATTGGGGTCGATAATTGGTGCCAACCAATTTTAGCCTATAAATGTCCAGCTATATGTGATAAAATCTTTTAATATATGGGAGTGCTTGTGAAGTTCGCGTGGATGTTGATTAATGATAAAATACCATACTACTACTTTTTCGGATAATATGAGAAGTGGCCGACAAAATTACGATTCCAGCAAGTATGGAAACTAAAATGCTTCTCCAGTCACAACCAATCAATATTTCCACAAAAGCATGTCTTCACCCATTAACTTCATTACAGCATGGTATACTGGTATTCACATGTGTAACTCACAATAGAGATATCAAATATTTTGAAAAGAAGATCTCCCACACCCAAAATACCCATAAGCAATTTGTAAAGTGCTTGATATGAAAGAAGAATAGAAAAGGAAAAATAAAAAGCTAAAAACAAGAAAATTCATAAACTTCTTTTAAAGTCAGTAATGTTCCCCAAAAAAGTCAGTAATATCACATGAAAAACCCCAATGCACTTTACAGCTCTCCCACAGAATCACATGTCAAAGTATTTACTTTTTACCAAAACCATATAACAATTTACCAGCAAGATATGCCTTTTAAAAATCACAAATTATTTGAGAGAAAATGTTCTCACATAATGGGGGAAAACCTATTTACTTATGGTTTTGATAAGATGACAACACTTAAGCATATAAACTGCAAGAATTTTAAAACAAAACAAAGGTAATTCCTTAAAAGTCTGAGCAATAATGTCCGAAGAAGCATGACATGCAATGCTTCAAAAATTATGCAAATGAAAGCATATGAAACACAATATTGGGGGACAGGCTAAACCACTCAAATCCCCCAAAGAAGAAAGGGCCAAGAACACAAGGGCAAAGCAAACCACATCCTCAGTAGCATAATTAGCTATACCTACTATGAGGTTTTCCTCGATCCTTCTAACGTCCAACACATTAATTATGTAAAAAGATGCCCTTTCTCCTTTTGTAGCTACCAATGTTCCAGATCTTATAAAAATCCTTTTCCATTTTTTTAAATTTGAACGGTACTCTAACCACAAGAATAACTAAACTTGCAACATAATCTTGAAGTGGAAACACAACAACTGACATAATAAGGAGCAGTGATGCTTCTCCTAATTCTATACATTTTTAGCAAGAACAAAAGAGAAAAGAAATTCAACTGAGCACTAAGAGTTGAGGAATTTGAAAGTGATCTAACAACAAAATTGAACTGAATTACAAAATGAATGTGTCCATGTAAGTCTTGAAACTTACAACTCCTCCACTAAGTCTTGCTAAGATGTACAAGCTTTTGAACCACCATAATCAGGTCCAAGTTGCATTATTCATGACTCAACAATATGACATGACATACACGCATTTAACCAATTGAATACATGCAACAAATGCAAAATTTGAACAAACCATCTAGATACAACTAAACTGACCACCAAGAAAGCAAGTTTGACTGCTTGATCAAATCACATGTTTCATGTTCCAATACAGGAAAGAAGATGGAACAAGACAATATACATCTGCCTTGACATCACATGTAAAATAAGAAAGTAGGCACCACTACACAGTGTTTCACCAAATGCATTAAGAATTTGAAGAAAGCCACCCCCCCCCCCCGGCGGAATAGATTTCGGATCACATATGGTTTCCTCTAGTAGAAATTAAGTAGTGAAACACATTTTCTGATACAAGAAGGCATTAGATATTGGATCACAATAACAAATTCCAAAAACAAGAAAGCATGTAACTTCAATTTTCTCTTCAGAACATAAGAAATCAATAAAGATCATATGTCAAAAGAATAAATATCATTTGCCATAATTGAAAATATACCAACTTAAGCCAATCCTAAACAACCCAGATAGGCTAGAACAAATAGCAGTGCATCAAGAAGACTTATATATGACAAACACATTACAATAAAATATTTGTTCTAGGTACATAGACGCACATAAAACTGATATCTACAGGACACTGTTTCACATGAATTATTTCCCCCTGAAAATCAAATTCTAAGTACACAATATCAGTGCACAATGACAACCAAAACCATTACATAAGCATCACAAAAACCGAACTAAAAAAAAAACTCATTAAAATTTCACAAAACACATAACTATTCACTCCAAAAAAAAAAAACATATACTACATACATACCTTAATTGAAACTTTGCTCTTCACTTGAGATTCAAGAGCTTCAGTCATTGACTGCGAGCAGTACAAAAAACAGTACCAAATATTCAAAAACAGTACCAATATCCGCGCACAACCAAGCTCTCCAACCCTAATTAATCAACAAAAGAAATTGAGATGGAAAATCAACCTTATCAAATTGAACCAGAACTTGAATAGCGAGCTCGGGGCTGAGGATGCCGTTAGAGACCATCTCATCAAGCGTCTCCGTCAAGCACATCCCGATCGTCGACCTCCGATACAGCTCGAACGTCGCCATAATCTCAAAGCCTTTTCCTACTCAAGATCCACAAATTCAAAACAAACATTTTCAGTAATTAAAACCAAAAACAAGTACTCGAATCCAGAAATTGAACAAGAAGATTAATCGAAAATCATATCAATCGAGACTAGTCAATAAACTCAAAGCTATTAAAAAAATTGAATGTTTTTACGTAGAGAGAGAGAGAGAGGTTACGATTGAAGACGAGGCGCACAAGAGAGAGTAACTGAGAGCTGTGTGAGAAAGTTAGAAAGAAGAACTGAAGAGGGAGTCGGGAGAGAGGGAGAGGATTTGGGGCCTTTTATACCCTAGAATTTGGAGAAGGGGGCTTATATAGGGGAGAACTCAAATCCGAATCGTAGGATGCCAAAAGACATTATTGTCCCTGCTGTTTTCCAAAATTTACTTGTGAGGGATTGCTTTTTCTTTTTTCCAAAATTTATTTTTTCCCCTTTTATTCTAAGTGTAACAAAGGTATTAATATATAGTGTATAACTTCAAAGATATGTGATTTAAATTCAAAATATGCGATTTAACTTCAAAATTTATGATTTTGATGATTAACTGTATTTCTTTTTGTTTAATGCTAATCCTACATCTGTTTGAAGCAAATTTTAATGATTAATTATACATCCTTTTTTATTTACTTGAACCAAATTAATATTAGAAAATCAATATGAAAGTCTACACGTGTTAACATAACATACAAATGACCCTTATTAACTTAAACTCTAATAGCAGGTTATTGTGCTTATTACAATGGACCCTTTTTTTTTTTGTTTTCTGAAAAAATGTTCCTAAAAGAAGGAAACAAAAGAAGGCGGCAAGAAAAGGGTATGTGGACAGGAGACCACATTACATTCTAGTCCTATGAGTTTTTGAGTCCATGAAATGTCTAAGGCCTATTTAGTCCATAGAAGTCAATATAAAAAAAAAAAGAAAAAGGCAGGCCTGTTATTTGTCAAGCAAAGATTTAATTTTGAGTAAAGACAGTAATTTGAATCGAATTTCCCCTTGATTTTCATCTAGTAGATAAAGAAAGAATCTGTTTGACAAGTGAATTTTTTGGGTGTTTGTCTAAAACTTTACTGTAGTTTACTGTAAAAATTTTTAAAAAAATTTTAAAAGTGTGTAAATTTTTGAATATTTTGAAGTGTAGTTTAAATATTTTGAGAAGTTTTTTTAAGTTACCGTAGCTAAAGTTTTTAAAAAACTTATAAAAAACTTGGTAAAAAACTTGCCTGCCAAACAACGCACGCTGTGCTAGTGTATGCCAGTTTTGTATTGTACCTACTAATTTCTGTGTTTTTGCATATGTCCCTTCCCTCACACTCCCCAATCCCCAAAAAATTTTTTTTTTGAGGGATGGGTTTTTTACGTGTGATTATGAATATAGTTCGTGTTGATATTGATCATTGATGTTGATGATGGAAATTAGGGGTTTGATGCCTGATTCGGACCTAATTTGCTAATTTATTCTGACACAATGGGCTCTTATCAATTATTGAGACTCTCAACCGGTGGAAACTAGCCACCTCACGTTACTTGGCAAAAAAACGTGGCAAATTCTGATGCCTTTGCTCTTGCATGCTGGCAATCTACACCTCCTCTCAACTGAGATCAGCAAACCATACTTTCTTGCCCGCAAGAGAAAGATAGACAAAGAAAGACCAGATCAGGAAAAAAAATTGGATCATGGAAGAAGTAGAATCTGCAGCAACACAACAAGAAGTCACTCCCAAGAGAAAGCATCATGAAGGTTCAGTAGCTTCTAATATCAGAAGAGAATGCCTTTCCTTCACAACTTCATTACAAGAAGGTTTCCGCTACATCAAAGGAATTGTTGTTGGACAGGTACTGGTAGCTTGCTTTTTGTAGATGCTCCCACCCCACACAAAAAATTACATGTAGCTGTGAAATTTTCGAGTGTGATAGTAGTTTATTGGTGGATGCAGGCAAAGAAAATGACTGCCAAGGATGAGCATGAAGCTACGGAAGCTGATCTGTTGGCTTCAAAGATGCAAGTTGATGCTGCCGATGAAGCTGAAAGTACCAAGAAGAAACTTGATAAATCCTATTAAACTTTGTCTTGTGCGTTTATTTGTCTGATCTTCAGTGTGTCCTCTTTCAGTTTATGCAAAATATTGTGGACTATGATGCATGCATGTAAAGTCATTACGATGATATAGACATGGAACAAATGTTATGCTCTTATGCATAATTTTCAAGGGGCATATTACTTGCTGATGCAAGAGATGTCTCGGTGCAGAAATTTCTTAGTGATGTACAAATTTGATAGATCTTAGTACCAAGCTTTCTTTGTCTAAAGACTAGAAAGTTATTTCATGGGAATAGTGTCTGGTTCAGGACACTCCATGCGGATATAGTCATACATAATCCCATGGAGAGCAGTGTCATTTTTTGCTTGTGTGAGGTATATGACATTGTAGCCTTGCCGGAGTTGAGATTCCGGTATGTCGATGTTAAACAGCCAATATAGCCCATGGACCCCATGTCTTGCAATCGCATTATCACTTCCTATTAATCCACTGGTGAAATGGGGTGGATTTGCATCTGGATCATTAACCCTCACCTAAGAGAAATTGTTGATAAAAAAGTTAGGATAACATACAATAAGTTTTTATCTCTTGTATTCATCAAGAAATGGGAGAAAACTAAGATATCTTCATCTGTACCTGCAACTCAGAATAAGTAGCTGAGCAGAGTGCAATTCTCAGTTTGTAAGTTCCAGTTTGAACAACATTGTCAACTTCAAAGTTTACTTGCCATGTTGTTGATTGAAAGATATTCTCACCTATTTTTCTGACATCCAAGATATATAAATTGAGACATTAGGCATCTCCTGTGAAATGGACCTTTCAGGTATGGTTCCATGTTATTGCTAAAATGAGGCTAAGCAAAAGATTGTACCTGTTTACATGAGCATAAAACCAATCTTTTCGGTAATCACTGGTGCCAACTGTGTATACCAAATCTCCATCAGGATATAGGTCTGCATATCTCTCCCACAAGCCATATTGCCTAAACCTGTCCCCAAAAAAAAAAACAATTGTTATTGAAAATTCTGAGTTGCAAAAGTAAAAAGACAATTTTAATGTGGAGTATAAAAATGGCCACTTAGCTATCATACTTATAAATTGAACTAGGAAGATAAATGACCTGTCTGCTGGAAGATTTAGGTACAGCTTATTGATGTACAGTGGATTAGGATCAGGAAAATAGAACTCTGCGGCAGAACGATCAGGGATGCCAATTTCCCACAATGTTGGCCCGTCTCTTGGTGGTTCAAATACAAGATCTCCCAGCTCTACCTCACAGCCTGCATTGTTAACATTTGTTGGTCACAAGTGAGAACGTATGATTGACAAACTGAAAAAGAAATTAAGAAATTTGTTGCCCTGCCAAATTCTGAATTGTAGTATGACCTGCAGTAATGGTTATTGTGGATTCACTTCGATAATCTCCAATAAAGCCCGGAACCCAAGCGTAGAGATTATATGTAGCGGGGGAGACATTGTTGATTGAGAAATAGCCCTGGCTATCAGCTCTTGTCCAGAATTGGTAGCCCTGATAGTAAATCAATGCCAAAAGATAGTCTTCAATATTGATAGATGCGATTGGCATTATCATCTCTCAAATAGTATTACCTTGCATTCTTTTTGAAATGACCCAATCTCTCCGGGAGGAGCCAACCCCACATAGGCACCATCTGCTACTATGAGCTCCTCACTTGTGTACCTTGCCAAGGTACGATTTTTCACAGATAATCAATAAATCTACTTCTAACTTCAAGAGATGGTGGTGAATAACTAAATGGTCATGTTGCATAATCTGAGCCTGAGGATTCCTATTGATGGACATTCCTAGACTTCTGCTAAGAGATTCCTATACCTGTCTCGCACCAGTAGGTTGCCACTTACAGTACCTCGTTGATCAGCTTTTGGAAAATCTTCTGAAGCTGGGAAACCATATGGCCAGCTTTCAACTTCTTGGTTCATCTAAACCAAAGAATGTCAGCTTCATTGTTTTCATGCTCTATTCTTGGAAATGTATTTTGAGGTAAGCAGTTGAGTGTTTAAGGTTTAACCTGTCGTTTGGCATCATCCCACAGTTTAAATGCCTCATTTTCATCTGATGCAGAGTTGAGATAGATGAAAACAGGACCAAAAACTTTCTTCCACGGCTCGCCTTCGCCAAATTTGACCACCAAATCAGTTCCTCCATAATGAGTGCTAACAAACATCTAATAGAGTAGTTATTTATTAGCAATACTATCTTGGTTTGGATCACTCTGTCAGCTGTTAATAGGATTAGATTGTAAGTTAGTTACATACAGCAAGGGTGGTTGGGTTGACATGAGAGGTGAGGTCCTGCTTGGTTGGCCCTCCAGTCCTGAACTCATTGCTTGGAGTAATTTGCCAGAATCCTACTGGTGGTTCAAGGCAAATAAATCCATGCACTTGATTATCTTTGTTCTCACATGAGTACTCGTACTTGTCATCGACCTGCTCATCAGTGGATAGTACTCAGTAGACATGACATTATGTCATAATGAAACCTAGGATCAGATATGTGGAAAAAGTGGTAGAACAAAGAAACTGCTTTCAATTTTGGTTCAGAGAGCAGTAATGTTGTTTAAGAAATCAGATTTGGTTGATTACTTCTCCTTTAAATTCTGGTTCGATAGGATCAACAAGTCTGACAGCTTCCGGAAAAGCAAGTTCTTCACCCCTTGGAGGTAATCTATCATCAGGAAGGGGCATGTACCTTTGCCTGTCATCTGATATAGCCATGTAACGAAACCTAGTTTGCAATGCAGAATAAAATTGCGGTTAACTTCAATCTTTTTGCTGATCAGTATCCGTCTCTGCATCAACTAATCCTCTTAACCTCCATTACTGCCAATACTATTAAGTCATGTTATTAGCGTTCACCCAAAAAGAAAAAAAAAAGGAAATGGGAAAACGTTTGTTGTTCATTTCCGTAATCAAGGCATTTAATTGGTACCAGAAAACTAGATTTTGATGCTGAGTTACTCATTTATGTTCAGAATACATATTCAGTGAGACATGTGAGCTAAGATAAAAATATTTAGAGAAACAAGTAAAAATCTGCAGGTAAGGCTACTTTTGTATATTGAGCATGAAAGCAATCCTGGTCTCGTTGAGGTTGAATGCAGGCATATCCTCATTGCGTTCATAAATGGCATAAGAGTAGAAGCCTGAGCAACCACGAAACAACATGAACCTACAATTTTTATCAGAATAGAGTCAAAATTCTGTCTTTTACTCTAGTGTGCCGTTTTAGAACAAGAATGGACCTTTTATCTATGCTTAATGGGGCATGATCACCCTGAAGTGAAGGATCCCACATCCTTGTGAAAGAAAGCTCCACTTGTTCATCGGTTTCAACCACAACTCTGAAAGTGGTTCCTTCAATTCTGCACAATAATCAAATCATTAGATTGTGAACCACTGTGTAATACTCATTTATTTCCATACAACTCAGCATCAACTCTTGGAAATCATCCTTAAACCATTGCATAAGATGCATATGGGATCATGATCTGTGTGGTGTAAATATATGATTTTGAAAGATCAATCGAAGAATAAAGAATGCGAGGGTCATGGAAACAGAATATTACGTATCAAATTTTCCTCTTGTCCCTGCACTTCCAGCTTCACTCCAGTTCAGGTCCCAGAATCTGTTGACTCGATAGAAGAAGTTAAATCTCAACAACGTCTCGTACTTTATTTCTATTATAGTCCAGTAACTTAGCATTAGGAATAGCTTAGCTTACCCTCCTTTCAAGTTTGGATTACTAAGCTCAAGCAAATTGTCAATTCCACAATACTGGATTTCAATGAGATTCCCCCCTGGATTTGTTAGAGTGAGTTGGAGTATTCCATTAGTTAACACCACCTGTATGGAAGATGATAGTACTGATCATCTGTGGATATTAACATGTACAGCTAATTAAGTCATCAATCCGCAGCAGAATTAAAATTATGATGGAGATTATAAACTTGTATGGTATTGATTCTTTCTTGGCTTTCCCGCATCTAAAGCCCCTCAGCAATATAGCAACAAGCATCTCATATATGTGTAACTTTCTGAACATCCTGGATACCAAATCTAACTTCTTCAGTTCTTTGAAGTTTGAAGCTTTCTAATATTAACTTCTTCAGTTCTTTCTGATCATCTGTAGATATTAACATGTACAGCTAATTAAGTCATCGATCCACAGCCGAATTAAGATTATGATGGAGATTATAAACTTGTATGCTATTGATTCTTTCTTGGCTTTCCCCTCAGCAATGCAGCAACAAGCATCTCATATATATGTAACTTTCTGAACATCCCAGATACCAAATCTAACTTCTTCAGTTCTTTGAATTTTGAAGCTTTCTAATGTAAATCTACACCCACTCCTACTCAACCAACTTTCCCTTGCAGTTTTTCTAAACTTTCATGGTTGTGAACATGGATACTTCCAAATTTCCTGACAATGAGTCAAATGGAAGTGGAAGAGTCTAAAGTAATGTTTGATATCTTAGACAAGTAGACGGAATAATGTGCAAAAAGATGAACTTTTTATATCATAATATATTGGAATAACTCGATAAAAAATTATATATACAATAGTAAAATGATATACAATACTTGATCATCTTGAATACGCAGTTGAACCGCTGCAGCCATAGACCTCTTTCCCAGACCACCACCTGACACCTCAGGGAACTATGTTTCTCTCCAGTTGAAGAAAATATATTAGATTAAGAATGCAAAATTTTGTAGATCGAAAAGCAAACGTAATATCATAACTTTTGATGCACGATAGCCACTAGACTTGAGTCTGCCTCAGGCTTATTCAGTAGTCAAGAATCGGTTGCTTTTATTATGCTGGAGGAGTATTTTCTCATTCCAGTTTTTGCCTTAACGTCAACGACAACTCTATCTTCAACGACAACGAATAGCCAAATGTGGAGCTGGAAGCGTCATACGGAATATAAAATAGCTAAATGTTGAAAAGTGGTTTGTATGCTTTAGGCAGAAAAAAGAAACAATCATTATCAGTGATATATAAAAAAGTAGGAATCTTGGTATTAGGGAGTGTAAGTGAAAGTACTTTTTTTACCATAGTTTTTGTTATTCCTAAATTACCTTCATGTCTTTTACTTAGAATTATTACATTTTAATGTGACTGGCACTAATTAAAATAAATGAAACACTCCAATTGATT